TTTAGATCTTTCTAACTAAAAGACACTTGAAACAATAGGAATCATGCCTAGTAACAGCATCACTTTTTTTTTTTGGTGAATTCCAGGCAATATTGATAACCAAAAATAAAACGGTTAACTGGTGCTTTATTTGTATTCAATGATGACCTTATATGCGAGCCGTATGTTCCAGCTGTAGTTAATTAATGTTCCCAAAGACATAATAGCAAAGAAGAGCAATGCAAGTGAGCCAGATCACAAACACTGCTATGGAAGACGGCAAACTAAGGAAAACTGAGTGTGCAGCTCGTAAAGCAGGTCAGGAAGAGGTTCATGATCCAAGCCCTTAAAATCAATAAAAGTGTGGCGTTCCATTTTAAGGTGGTGGACGGAATGCAGGCATCAAATTTCATTTCCTCTCAAAACCCCAGTGAGAAATATTTTTTTAAAACACAACATAAAATAACAAGGACAGGAAGAACCGGAAAGGAAGCAAGAGTTAACAAAATTTTAGAAACTGGAAAGCAAAGGGGAGTCATGGTTAAAGGACTTCACCAACCCCCAAAAGCTGAATTGTAGCCAGTGGTTAGGAGCACCGAGAACCACGTTAATTTACTGTGAAAATCCTCAACAGGTTCAGGATCATGTACCTCTCAATCTTGGATGAAAGGGAAGGAAAAGAGTAAAGAGAAATGAGTGAAATTAGGTTCCCAGATCCTCCCCCTCCCCAACACCTCGATTACTGGGCTTCTATCCTCTGGAGATGATTTCTGGATTCGAAGGAGGGAGGTGGGTGAGATGGGCAGATGGAGGATGGAGGTACTGCACTGAAAACAGGAATAAGTGAACACAGGAATGCTGAACGCTAATTTCAGGGCCTTTGAATCATGTGGGAACTCTAATATAATCTAGCAAGGAATCCCAAACTGCTTATCCTTTATCCGGGGACGAGGTCTACTGGATGAACTGCCCTCTTAAGAACGCCTACGATATAAAAGGTAAGCTTGGTTCTAACAATGGCTCTCTCCATCACCGATTATGGTCTCTCTAAGGTGCAATGAACCTTAGTAGGAAGAGGGTGCCATGCGTGCCGCCAGCCCCTAGGCTGATGACCCTTCTGGCCCCTCCATCTCCAGCCGCTCAATAGCTTAACGGCATGACTGAGGAGCCAACGTGCAGCAAATTTGTCCCTCAAGCAACACTTTCTTGTGATAAACTTTCACCTGGATACACCACTCCCCACCCCCATAGCTTCACAGTACAATCGCAGGCTTTCTCTCCCACTCAGCCACCAGACCACTGGCAGTCAGACAGACCTCTGCCCTCCAAGCGGGGGACTGGAAGGCCCTTTTCTGAGGATTCTGGCCTGAAAAACCTAAAAAATAATGACACTGGTGTTTCCCCAACTAAAAGGGACCACCCACATTGTCCTAGAATAGCTATCCTCATTTGTGATGACCTTGATCTCAGGGAACATTTGATGTCTGGACACATTTTTGATTGTCATGACTGGAGAGGTGTGGCTGGTATCTACTGAGAAGAGGCCAAGGTTGCTGTTAATCATCCTACAACATGCGGGTCAGCCCTCCTACACACAGCAATTCCAATTAGCCTTTTAGTATCTCACTCTCAATCATGATCAGACAGCCGAAGATTACCAGACAGGTTTGCAGTGCTTCCAACAGAAAACAGACCAAGCACAAACAAGAGCAGTGGAGGAAACATATCTTGAAGCCAAAAAAATAAAATAACTTGCTAGGAGCAAGTGGTAGAATCATATTCAAATCCTGATGATTCTTTTTGCTATACATATCGCCTTCAAGGCAGCAAATTCTCTTAACCTATACACTTGAATTAAAACCTACTGCCATGTTTACTGCTAATGATATGATTTGGCATCAGGGCCATGGCCCTGGGGGTTCACGGATGCTCAGCTGGCTCATGGGGGCCTGGGTGCTGAGGGGAGTAGGTGGGGACATGATGTGATCAGAATGGTTCTTATTGATGACTTGAACAAGTGAGTAAAGGAATTACAAATATGGAAAGAGGGAAGTTAAAATAAACCCTGTGGAGCAATACCGGAATTGGAGGGATCGATGTGAATTTATGTTTTCTTTTATGTAGAGATGCCAAAAGTGTCAAGGTCGTGAAAGAAAAATAAAGACCGAGGAGCTGTTCCAGGGTGAAGCTAAAGAAAGATGATAAATGCCATGAGTAATTCTGGATTGGAAATTTATGAAGGACAGTACTGGGACAACTGATAAAACGTGAACAGAGCCTGTGGATTAGATGATAGTGTTACATCAATGTTGACGGTTATAGTATGGGCTTAGGAGGAAGTGCATTCTTATTTTTAGAAAATGGGTACTTAAGTTTATATACCATTAAGTGGGTGATTAGGTATCATGGCTGCATCTTGTTCTTAAATGGCTCAAGAAAAAAAAAATACTGTATTGTGTGTGTATACAAAACGAGAAAGAGAAAATGATGGTATAAATGTGGCTAAACGTTGACAATTAGGGAAACGGGCAGGGGAAATACAGGCATTCTCTATGCTGTTATGGCAACTTTTCTCCAAGACTGAAACATCAACATGAATAGTAAACAAAGAACATGGACATTCTTGATAACTAATATAGAACCAAGTCCAAGGTACAGTAAATGGGGAAAAAAAAAAGTGCAGAAAAATGTGTATTAAGCTCATGCTCCTCTTTGTGTAATTAAAGGGGGGGGGGGAACTGTGAGTCTTTTCATACGTGCAGAGTATCTCCAGAAACATACCAGAATCCGATCTACATGGTTTCTTCCAGTTGGAAAACAGGAGGCTTGAGATGGATGGAAAACAGGTTTTTACTCTGAAAATTTGAATTGTGTACTACATGAAATGAAATAACTTGAAAAAAACCAAACAAAACCCAGAATGCTTCGGTTTGGTGGTTGCCAAATCCCAGTGCCAGGTTGGCTGCCTTAGACTAGAAGCACCTAGGGAACATTTAAACCTAGATTAGCAGGCATCAATTCCAGAAATTATATTTCTGTAGTCCAGGATAGGGCTCAGGTATCGGTCAAATTTCCCTACTTAATTATAAATCACAGCATTGTTTAGGAATTGGTGATTTAACCAAATCACTCAAATTTGATCCTCTCTAAACAGAACATTCTAAGTACCTTGGGAAATTAGAAAGAAATACTTTCTGTCCAATAAGAGAATAAGATCATAATGTAGGGGGCTGGCGGAGTGACGCATTGGTTAAGAGCTGGCTTGGGACACCAGCTCTGAGAAGTAGGGCCCCAGTTCAGATCCCACATGAGAGACAGTGACGCTGCGCCCTCTATAGCTAAGATGGTGAACAACAGCTCAACCTGGAGCTGGGCTGCCGTGAGTCACCGGTGACAGCATAAGTTGCAGTCCCTGCCACAGTGGGGCTGCCATAAGCTACCGTGTGTGGCCAACAGCCAGCAGCTGGTGTGAGCTGCCAAGAGCCGCTGTGAGCGGCTGTCCAGAGGCCAGTGACCAATCTGCCTCACCCGGGAAGAGCGCAACGAATGATACCAACACTGGCCAGTGAAGCGACGTCCTCCACAACTAGACTGAAGAACAAAAGGACAGCAACTTGTCTGTTCCCCTTCCCCAATAAAATCTAAAAAAGAAAAAAAAAAAAAAAGACCATAATGTAGGGAAAGAATAACTCACACGTGAAACCATAAAATCTAAACCAGGACAAGGGGTGGTGTGGTGTGGGTGGGGCCAGGAGGGGGCCGAATAGGACTGCGCAGCCACCAGCACTAGGAGCAGCTCTAGGCGGCAGCACAACAGTCTCCACCACTCTGCGGCCATGACACACAGGTTCAACCAGTTTCTGCACAAGAACTGCATGACCGGCCCCTTGGCCTCAGGACAAGCTCTAGGCATAGACCGCTGTGAACCAGAGCTACATCGTGCTATGTCATTGGGCTGGTGGCCTCTGATTGCTGTTCAGTTGTAGAGCCTCTCCTCTGCAGTCTGACAGGATTTGGCTACCCAGCCTACATCTCAATTTAAGCCAGAGAAGACGACACCAGTGGCCGACCTACTGGGTAGTGCGTGGTGTGCTCAGCATTGCAATCCTCCTCTGACCGCTTCCTGCCAGTTCCCTCCTACTACACGCTGAAGCGCGGCTTCCTGCTGTGGTGCATGGCCGCAGCTCCTCCAACGGGGTGGAACTGCGCTGCAGGCGCATCATCCAACCTTTCTTCCTGAAGCAGGAGTCCCAGGTAGACAATGTGGTGAATGACTTGAAGGACAAAGCCAAAGAGACTGCAGATGCTAACGCTTAAAGAAGCCACGAAAGCTGCCGTGAATTTACTGGGTGAAGAAGAAGAAACCTTCCTGCCCTCTCTGGGCCTTCCTACTTGAGCTTGATGTTGTATTAGAGGCTGTGGCACAATCATTTTAATAATATTGCCTTGGAAACATATTTGATATATTAAAAAAAAAAAAAAGGAATTTGTTGAAAAAAAAAAAAAAGAAAATCTGAAACCAGAGTTTGCACTGACCCCTGTATAGAAGCCAAATCACGTAAAGAAGCCAAGTCATATAGTCACTCTACCTTTGCGCTTTCTTCCTAAGGGCCAAAGACATGGTTGAGGCTAAGGTCACCTGAGTATTACTTAGTATAGACAATACATTCAAATACTCTGCATTCTTCAGAAGGAACATTCTGTGTAAATATATAACAAGATTACATAGATTTAGTTAAAAAACAATCAGCTGACACAAGTAGATACAATATCTGTAACATTCTAGATCTCAAATGGTGGGTTCACCAGTGTTCATTTTATTATTTTGTTTTATATCTCAATATATGTTAACACCTTGAGGATGGGGCATTTAAATATATAGATGCAAATCTGCACCACCGGTCCACAATGTATTAACTATATTCTCTTGTATGCATCACGTTACCTTAAAGCAACAAAACAATTATTTAGATGGTTGGTCCTTACATTTAAAGAGAGAACTAAATACAAGACAACTAAGCTTTACCATGCCAGCAGTACATGTTTATTATTCATGAATGATCAAAATACTTACAATGCCATTATTAATCACACATATGAAATATCACTTTGTAACATGGAGTGAAAAGGACACTTTTATATATCTTTAAAAAAATACATACACGCATGCTCTCTCTCAAGTGCTCACTGCTACAAAAGCAGGAGGCATCAAGATGCAGGAGCTCCAATATACGTAACACGTTGAAATATCTCAAGCATAAAAACTGTACTCAGGTTGCAAAAATAAAGTTTCTTTCTTCAAACATTTTGATCTGCGCTCAAGCAAAGCAAATCATGAACACCAATGATTTTCATACTATTTAACACACTTTAAAACAAAAGGGTCAACAGTTGCAGGAGTCCTGAAAACATAGAGGTTATAGGAATGGATAATGCCTTTCATCCCCCCACCCCCCAAAAAAGTGTACAGCAGATGTTTCATCCTGACTCTCAAAATATGTAATAATCATCATCTACTATACTCAGAGCCAGAACAAAAGGATGAAAAGAAACATTACTTTAGACACAGGCATCATTAACCTGTTTTTTACACAATTTCACTAGTGCAAGGGTATCATTTACCTGAAAGATCATGAGTCACAAAGAGCACGCATACAAAACTATTTCCTTTGTTCTTTAAAAAGTGCCACAGACTATATGTATCATTACAAAAAAGACATACACTAATGAAAGACCGTTTGTCTCCATCTCTTATCGATGAGGAAAGGCCAGAGTGATTCTTTGATTCCAATTCGAAAAGGTGTTCGCCGGCCGATGCCCAACGTCTCTAACTTGGAGCAGTCAAGCTGGGCATTTCTTGGACGCTGTGCTCCTAAGACAGGACTGTCAGTTATCTTTAAAGAAAAATAAAAGCAAAAATATCGAAAATAAATGGAAAGCTACATGTTGAGGTTTTACATTCTCTACTTCACTTTGCCCTCAGTGCAAGAAATCGGATATAATCCCTGGAAAAATAAAGAAGTCTGCCACAATCAAGACAACACTTTTTCTATCAACTACACCAATACTCATGGGCTTATCATACCTGACAATTTAGAGAAAAATACCAATATGAACTGAGAACATACGAGTGAAGTTCACTTTGATTACTACCCGAAAATGAAGTTATCAATACTTCCAAAGCAACAAGAAAATGGTATTCAGTAATACACACTTCTGTGATGGTTCTAGACTTTCGAAAGGTGAGGTTTTAAATGATGTGTGTACTTACAGGTCTTAGGTGACTGCTGGGGAGGTTGAAGGCATCTGCGATGGCGCACGCCATTTCATACTTCGTCAGCTGTTCATTGCCAGACCAATGAAAAGTTCCTTTAATCGACGGATCCTAACAAGGACACACAAATTCAAAATTGTTTCAACTTTGTGAGTTGAATGAAATGGTAGGTTTGACAAGAAAGATAATTTAAAATGTCCAAAAAAGAATCGCATCTTTCCTTTCTGGAATGCTCTCCAAAGAAATCTAAAACAGAATCCCTATAAATATTCCCAGCTAAACATGAAAAGCAATTTCTAGAATTTAGCCTTGAGCATTTTTAAAAATAAAAACATAAATAAATTACTCCCATTTTACTTACTGGGAATCCTAAAAATAATTACAGATTTTTTGGAAACATAGCCCAACTTAATGAGTATTTCTAATTATGGAAAGAAGCTAAAAACAAAACTGTTTAACAGAACCATTTTTCAAGAGGAGCTAATTAGTCATAACATCCTTAAATGCTGACACAGTACATATTTAAGATATATATACATTTTTATGTATTAAAAAGTACATATTTTTTATATTCTAAAATAAATCAGTCTCTGGTCTTTCTTTTTATGGATAGTCTATTAGCTCCAACTTTTTCAAACATTTAAAATTAACTCCTATTCAACTAACTAAAAAAAAAAAAATTCTTAAAATGGCTAAAATATCTATGCAGATTCTTCTTTAACATTACATAGATCTTAGAGTAACTTCTTTAAAAACTTCAAATTAAATAAATAATAATACAACTGTTTAGTCATACTGCAATAAAAGAATGACAAAGGGTGTCTGTAGTATTTGATAAATGAATGCAAACACAAGAATACGATATTTTTATTATTATAAATATGGCCTACTATCTGTAAACTATTTTTGTGTGGTCTCCTTATAGTTTTTTTAAAAGGACTTTCATTTTCACTCATGAACAGGATTTCTACTGCGATGGAAGTCAGGACATCTTCCTGCCCGATTCTCACCAGCATTCTCTTCTCCGCTAACTGACGGCACACGGCGGCGACGTCCTTGACATGCGTGGGGAATCTCTGCTGCCAGTGGTCCATGTTGGCCGACTTGTTGCTGAACTGCACTTTATCAAACATAACAGTCACGGCACTTTCTTCGAGCTTTTCGACTTCTCCATACAGAATAGGAATTCTCAAAACAGCAGCTCCTAGAGATGAGGTAGGTAATATTTTAAAGCCGACTGGTTCTTTAATAACTATGTATGGTGCCAGGAGGGTAACAGGCTTATTGAGGGGAAACTTCATAAGTTATATAAATGCCTAACAACTATGCTGTACACCTGAAGCTAATATTATACTGTATGTCAACTGCAATGGGAAAAAAACAAACAAACAAAAAACTGGCTGGCTCGTAAGTCTTGATGTAAGACGCATGTATGTAGATTTAAACAATATCGTAGTAGAAAACTTGCAATATACCAAATGACACAGCTCACCTGTAATGATGCCTATTTAACAAATGTGATTCTGAATTTTAAATATTCTCTCGTTTTGGGTATTTTTATATATAATTTCATTACTATGATAATTAAAAATAAATGCAATGAGTGTAACTTCATTGGATCTTGAGTAAAATGTAATAAAGGACATTATTGGGACAATTGGGGAAATTACTATAAAGACTGTATATTATATTACAGTAAGGATAAATTTCCTGAGTGTGATAACTGCACTGTATTTATATACAGAACATCCTTGTTCGAAGATACACGGTGAAGAATCTGCAGGCTAAATTCAACTAATTCTTAACGAGTTCGGAAAAAAAATTATATGTACAAAACACATGTGGCAAAACATTAACAATTAGTGAGTCTATATACAGGGTATGTATTTACGACATAATTCTTGAAAACAGATTAAAGAATTATGAGGTATTTAGATTTTATGTTGGTCCCTGCTAAGAGTTTACAACAGAACTTTTTAATTAAATTATTGGATAACTGTATGTAAATATGTATTCAAGGATAATTTTTGCAGGATAATTCATAACACAAAAAAGCTGAAAAACAGAATGTCTATAGTGTGATATCTACACCAGGGGATGCTTCTCAAGGACATGGTCCAGTCTTAGGCAGTAGTTCTGGTGTAAAGGATCATTAAAGCAAGTGCTATGCAGCAACTGATAGGAAAAAGATACCCAAGAGATGGCTCCATATGTACTGAAACGCAAGTATGTGGGGGAAAAGCAGATGACAAAACCACACACACACACCCCTTTTTAAAAACTTACAAAAGGGCC